GGCTCTCCGTCTGGGTCTTCTAGTTCCAGCCCACTCCCTCCAATTTCCTCTGGGTCTCTTCTAAACTAGTCCTTTTAGGGCTAGTATCCAAAATCTATAAGGAACTCACCAAACTCCACACCCAAAAAACAAATAATCCAGTGAAGAAATGGGCAGAAGACGTGAACAGACACTTCTCCAAAGAGGACATCCAGATGCCCAACAGACACATGAAACGATGCTCAGAGTCCCTCCTCATCAGGGAAATGCAGATCAAAACCACACTGAGATACCACCTCACGCCAGCCAGAGTGGCTAAAATGAACAAATCAGGAGACTCCAGATGCTGGCGAGGATGTGGAGAAACGGGCACCCTCCTACACTGTTGGTGGGAATGCAAACTGGTGCAGCCTCTCTGGAAAACAGTGTGGAGGTTCCTCAAAAAACTAATAGAACTCCCCTATGACCCAGCAATGGCACTGCTGGGAATTTACCCAAGGGACACAGGAGTGCTGATGGATAGGGGCACATGGACCCCAATGTTCATAGCAGCACTCTCAACAATAGCCAAACCACAGAAAGAGCCTAAGTGTCCATCAACTGACGAATGGATCAAGAAGATGTGGTTTATCTATACGATGGAATACTACATGGCAATAAGAATGAAATCTGGCCATTTGTAGTAATGTGGATGGACCTTGAGGGTGTTATGCTGAGCGAAATAAGTCAGGCAGAGAAGGACAGATACCATATGTTTGCACCTATAGGTGGATTAGGAGGAACTTAACGGAGGACCACGGGGGAGAAGAAGGGAAAAAATAGTTGGGGAGAGGGAGGGAGGCAAACCATGAGAGACTCTTGAATGCTGAGAATAAACTGAGGGCTGACGGGGGTGGGGGAGAGGGGAAGGGGGGTGATGGGCATGGAGGAGGGCACTTGTGGGGATGCGCACTGGGTGTTATATGGAAACCAACTTGACAATAAACTATTAAATAAATAAATAGATTGTTCCTTTTAAGTGTGTTCTCTCAAAATGTCAGGCTTTTAGGTGCTACTGGAAATGTTCAATCTTTCTCATAATAACACAGTTTTGGAATGTCAGTGCTCTTTCCGTGTTCATGTTGAAACCCCGAAGGTATCTTCTCAGCCAGCCGCTGTGCTGTCTTTCCACTGAAGTGTTCGCGAATGAAAATATCTGGCCAAGACGCTCATTTCCAGGATCCCTTCTAGAAACCCGAACTTTAGATGCTGACTTTGTACAACTCCTTTTGAAGTTAACTTGGGTGGCAGACTTGTGCAGGCCTAACGATTTCGAGGTGACAAACACCTGCATTTCTGTTTGCTGGCTGCTTCCAAGATGAATCATATTTGTTTTCACGATGACAACTATTTCTTTACCTTGTTTCCTGATTAAACTTTGTAATACCTGTGGCCCCTTGGGGAGTTTGGGTCTTCTTTCCACGGGCCCACGGTCAGGCCATTTCATCGGGGCAGGGAAACGCGTTCTTCGTGGCAGACAGGAAATAATGGCACATACATCAGTCTCCAATATCTCCCCTGGGAAGTATTTCAAAGCAACTTGCCTCATATCATGGCACACTCATCCTTGCCTTTTCTTATGAACCCAACTCCTCTCTATGGATGGAGCCCACCCTTTAAGAGTCAGCTCAGAGCCTTCCAACTCCTGCAGCATTTGTTGGGGGGGGGGAGCACACGCTTGAGCGTGGAACCAGGTCCAAGGCTGTTTGGGGTGCATTTTGTTCCTCCCTTCCCCCAGGCCGCCGCACTCCAACACACTGTAAATCCCGGCAGTGCAGACACAGTGTACGATCACCGGCCACTCACCCAGTGCTTGCTGACTGCAGCCTGTCCAAATGTGACAGGTTTCAAATTAAAGGGAAGGGACTTGAGACTTAAGTACATTGAATTAATCTCTAACAGGGAAGATCCAACTGCTTTGTGATTCTGGGAATCTACTTTGGAAACTCATTTGGTGGTGTCCGGGGGAGTCCTTTTACAAAACTGGGAAATAACACACTAAAAGGAGGAAAGCCGTCTAGGAGAGGCACTGGTTCAGACTTAGTCTTTGATATGGAACACCGCTATTGAGTCATCAAAAATAAATGCCTTCCAGGATGATAAAGGAAGGAATAAATTCCCTTATATGGTTATCTAGCACCTTTATGGGGTTTTTTTACATTCAAATGTTTTATCCACTTAGAGTTTATCTTGGTAGAATGCATCAATCCCACTTCAATTTTTTCTAGATTGCTACCCAGTTGTTTTCATGCCATTTATTGACCAGTATATTGTTTTTGAGATGACACTCCTAGCATATTCTAAATTCCTAGATGTATTTCAGTCTGTTTCTGTTACTTCCAGTTCTTTTCAATTGCTCTCTTCATGGTCCAGTCAGTGCCACAGTTAGAATTATGGGGTTTATATAAATGTTTTAATTTCTGGGAGAACTGTTCCCATTAATCTTCTTTCAAAGAGTTTTCCTAGCTGTGCCTATTTCTCCAGATGAATCTAGAATCAACTTGTCTGGGTAAGAAAAGAGATACCAAAACCTCTTGGCATTCTCATCGGAATCATGTTAAACTTCCGTAACTTACAAACGAGAAATTTTGATGTCAAGGCTGTATGTCCTAAAACAGAAAGATGTCTTTCTACTTGTTCAAGTCTAGTTTTGGGTTTCTCAGGAGGGTCTTTTAGTTTTCCTTATAAAAGATTATGGACTTTAAGCTTTTTTTTTTTAATTTTAATGTTTTTTGAGAGAGAAAGTGTGAGTATGAACAGGGGAGGGGCAGAGAGAGAGGGAGACACAGAATCTGAAACAGGCTCCAGGCTCTGAGCTGTCAGCACAGAGCCTGAAGTGGGGCTTGAACCCACGAGCTGTGAGATCACGACCTGAGCCGAAGTCGGACGCTTAACTAACTGAGCCATCCAGACGCCCCATATGGACTTGAAGTTTAAACCTAGGGTTTGTGAGGGGCTCCTGGGTGGCTCAGCTGGTTAAGCGTCCGACCAGCTCAGGTAACGATCTCATAGTTCAAAGGTTCTAGCCCCGCATTGGGCTCTGTGCTGACAGCTAGCTCAGAGCCTGGAGCCTGCTTCGGATTCTGTCTCCCTCTCTCTCTCTCTGCCCCTCCCTCACTCGCTTTCTGTCTCTCTCAAAATAAAGACATAAAAAATTCACAAATAAACCTAGGGTTTTTGAATTTTAAATTATTTTGCTATTGTAAATGGATTATTCTCTTCATTAGAGCTTCACACTGGTGTCCATGTGCGTGTGTGTATTGAGGATTTGTAACCTTGGAATGGTCTGGGGTTTTCTAGGGTTCAGAATCCAGAAGCCATAAAAGATCATAAATTCAACTACCCTAGGAGGTTTACATGGTAAAAATACCATAAGCAAAGTCAAAAGAAGCACGATAAGCCAGAAGGAAACCTTTGCTTCATATCACAGAATTCTCCTAGAAGCCAGTAGGCTTTCTGCCACCAGAAAGCAGGGGCTAGGGGAACAGAGGATATGAATAAATAGCTCTATGAAAAGGTGGGCAGGGCGCCTGGGTGGCTCAGTCGGTTGAGGATTTGACTTCCGCTTAGGTCATGCTCTCACAGTTCATGAGTTTGAGCCCTACAACGGGGTCGCTGCTGTCAGCGCAGGGCCTACTTTGGATCTTCTGTCCACCCCACCCCACCCTGCTCATGCGGTCTCTCTCAAAAATAGTTTTTTCAAAAGGTGGTCAACCTCACTTTTAAGTTAAAAAAAGTATACAGAGATGTCATTTCTCATCTATCACATTGGCAAGACACATGGCTGATGAGGCTAGAACAGGCACTCTGATGTACTGCTGATAAAACTGGTCAGGAAGGAACTGGCCCCATGAATTATGCTATAAGCCACACAAGAAATGTATTTGGATAAAGAAACAGTGGAAGCGTATTTAAACCAACAACAGTGGTCACTTGAAAGGCGCTGAGTGGACAAGGAATGACGTGGACAGGGATGGCAAGCGGTGACTTTTTTTTTTACTGTACACTTTTACGTAATCTCTATGCTCAATGCGGGGCTTGAACTCACAACCCCAAGATCAAGAGTCACACGCTCCACTGACTGAGCCGGCCAGGCACCCTGGTATACCTTTTTATAGTTGATCTTTGAAGCATGTGACTCTTACCTATTCAAAAATCTAGACAAATTAATTCCCCTGGCAAATTAAGAAACTTAATACATTTTAGCTCACATATTTCACTCCTTATTTTTCCTATTTAACTCACAGGAGTAGGAAACAGCTTTAGGAAATAGACTAAAACTTGAGTTCCTCAGAGGTCCCTCAAATAAAATGTTTAAGTCACTGTGAAACTCGGGAGGTCTCAAATTTTATTTTTTTAAAGTAATTTCTGTCCTTTACAATGGGTTATCTCACACACACGTGTGTGCTCACACAGAAACGCACGTGCACGGATGCACGTGTGCGCGCGCACACACACACACACACACAGAGGACTTGAAAGGGATAGAGAAACAAGGATAGCCTCCATATTTTTTTTTACAAAGTTCAAAATAGATTACATTTATGTGCTTTTCAGTCATTATGCAATGTACAGACGCGATCCATTTAATGATTTATCTTCCCCAAATGGTTACACAATGAAGATTTGCTATGAAAGAGCCTATGTAAAAGCTTTTACTTTAGAAGCAAAGTACTATTTCCTGCAAAAACCAACCTCAGGCATACATGTTGTGTTTCTTCCTCGAGAATACTACAGTAGCAATGCCGAAGTTTGTTCGGTAAAAAGATTTGTAACATGATTTTCAAGAGGCACAAGGCATTGTGCTCGCAGATAAAAATCCTAAGTCAAGGGGCGCCTGGGTGGCTCATTTGGTTAAGCGTCCAACTCTTGATTTCGGCTCAGGTCACGATCTCACAGTTCGTGGGTTCAAGCCCCCGTGTCGGGCTCTGCACTGACAGCACGGAGCCTGCTTGGGATTCTCTCTCTCCCTCTTTCTGCTCATGCACACGCTCTCTCTCTCGTAATAAATAAATAAAAAAATTCTAAGTCAGAAGATCAGCTATTATGATAATAACAGTTAAAACCGCATACATATATGTTCAAGATCAGAGAAGTTATAAAGAAATGTAAATAGTTGTTGCTTTAGGGACCTTTTTGGGTAAAGTTGTTTTAATAAATACAAACTTAAAAAATATCTCCATGATTGATATAAAATAGACACATATCAAGTATTTTCTACACTTGGCTTGGAGTTTAAAGATGAAAAACATCGCCACACAAACCACCCGGCATCTGGTCATCCCAGTCTGGGCTAGTTGCTTACAGTCAGGCAAAGGGCTGGCAAGAAATGATAAAGGGATTTTTTTCCTCCTGTTCACGTAAAGCATTATCCAGAGGTAAAGCCAGGGTGAACGACGTAACTAAACAAATGCCTACCTTCCTTTCGAATTGTTAGACCAAACAGAGAAGTCACCCTAATTCCGAGGGTTAAAAAAAAAAAACCCACAGGCTTTGTGTCTGGACCACATCCTATTCTGTAAGTATGTCTGTTCTTCTGGAAGATCCTAGGGTAGGATATGCATGATCCCTCAACACTTTAGGCTTTGGTGTGTACCCTCTGCACATTAACTGTAAAACTTATTTTAGAAACCCCATGGCAACTGTTTGTAATGACAGAGGACAAGGTATAAGTTACATAGGAACATTGACGTTTGTAGTCAGGAAATAAAGGTCATTTTATGTTTCACACCTGTAGCTGTGAAGGACACAGGACCTTGGTGATCAAAATGAATTAGAAAAAAAAAGAAGACAATAACAGATGTTTGAAGTCTTTTGCATAATAGGTTTAGATATAAAAAGAATTTTTTTCCAATGATTTCCTAGGTGTCACTCAGAAGCATCCTTGCCGTTTGTAATTTAAAATATATATTATACATTTGCAGTTACGGTCAATCACTCAATAGTCGGTAGCATGTTAATGGAGTGAAAGAGATCAAAGGCAGTCCACATTCATATTTGCAAGATAAATTTACTTCAGAAGTCAACTGAATTCCTTGCTCATGTTCTAAGTATGGCCATTGTGATAAGACCTGAAAGAAAATTGGAGAACAGTTAAAGCCACACATTTTACAAAATCTTCCATGCAGTAAGTCACTGTTTGGACCTCAAGGAGCAAATAAGAAACAGCACAGGGACAGGCACTCTACCAAGAATTCAAAGTCAGTGTGAATAGTTGATATTATATAGAAGAAATCCAGTTGATAGCAATGGGCAGTCACTGAATAGATTTTAATTAAGTCACTACTGTCTGGCTACAGATCATTTTTTCACCATCGAATACACCTTCCACATTGTCCAGGTCACATCAGCCATAATAGGAGACATGGCATTTTAAATTTTTTTAATGTTTTTTATTTATTTCTGAGAGAGAGAGAGAGAGAGAGAGAGAGAGAGAGAGACAGTGTGAACAGAGGAGGGTCAGAGAGAGAGGGAGACACAGAATCTCAAACAGGCTCCAGGCTCTGAGCTAGCTGTCAGCACAGAGCCTGACGTGGGGCTCGAACCCACAACTGACGAGATCATGACCTGAACCAAAGTCGGACGCTTAACCGACCGAGCCACAGGCTCCCCCAGACATGGCATTTTAAAGTGTCCATAAAGCCAGCCAACTTCATCAACAAACATACTTCGAGCCTATTTGTATCTCAGGGCTCTAGGAGCACAGAGAGACAAAAGCACAGTATTCCTGCTCGGTGTATCTCTTTCGAAGAGGCTCCATACATAAAACCATAAAAATTTAATAATGTAAGAATACGCTCAGTCCCAAATAAGTGGTAAAAGGAAAAAAAGTGAGTGATAAAGTACAGAGGAGAATCACTGCGTAGGACCAGGCCGGACAGAAAAGATGCCCCAAAATGTCAAGCTGAAATAAGCCTAAAAGACAGACAGGAATGATAAGGAACAATGAGATCAGCAGGCATTTCAGGTGAGGGAATGGCCAGAGCGAGGGCAAGGAGGTTGACCAGACTCTCGATGAGCTTTTTGGGGATCAGTAAAAAATCTAACAGGCTCTGCTCAAGGATTTATACAGGGAATCAGCTAGACAAGATTAGCCGGAAGAGGTCACAGAGTAGAGAGCATTAGATGCCAAACTGTGGACTCGTACTTCTTCCCATGGACTTGGGGAACCACTGAAGACTCTTGAGCTGGGAGCGGCGGTGGGAACACCAAACCTGAGTGGAAATCAATCTAACAGCAATGTGATGGAGCATCTGGGAGAAGATAAAGCGTGGGGTGGGGGTGGGGGGTGGGAATACGAAAGGAAGGCACACAGACAGACAGTACGGTGTCATATTTAGAAGACAATTTTTCGACTTAAAAAAAGAGAGAAGGGACGTCTGGGTGACTCAGTCAGTTGAGCGTCCAGCTGACTCTTGATTTTCAGCTCAGGTCATGATCCCAGGGTTGTAGGATCGAGCCCTGCACTGGGTTCTGTGCGGAGCATGGAGTCTTCTTAGGATTCTCTCTCTCTCTCTCTCTCTCTCTCTCTCTCTCTCTCTCTCTCTCTCTCCTCTCTCTCTCTCTCTCTCCCCCCGTGTCCTACCCCCTGCTCACCCGTGCTCTCTAAAAAAAAAAAAAAAAAACATACCAAGAAATACTGAAAGAATACTGAAGACTTGGTGACTCAGAAGAGGTGACAGGAGACTACGAAGACAGAGTCTGTCGTCACCAGAACCCTGATCCCTGACACGTGGCAGGTACCGAGTAACTGGTTCAGTTAAGGTAATCATAAGATTTCAAGCTAGGATGGCTGAAAGAATAATTTAACAGGAAATGTTAAGCCAGGGAACTGGCTTAAAGAGAAGGTTCATGACGTTAAACGAGGCTGCAGTGTTCACCTTTATCACTGTATGCACTTTGTCGAAGTGTTTCCCCACGATCAATTCCTAGCAGTAGAGATGCTGGATCGTGGAATATGCGCATTTTACATCTTTTACATGTTTTATACCATTGAAAATCAGCAAAATGAAAATAACTGAATACAGTATTAGGTACTAGATCAATAAGCTACAAAGAACTAATTGTAGGGGCACCTGGCTGGCTCACTCGGAAGAGCGTGTGTGACTCTTCATCTTGGAGTCGTTGAGTTTCAAGCCCCACGTTGGGTGTAGAGATAAAATCACACAAGTATCAGCCCCGTGGCCACTATTACCCCATACACATGTAACACCACCACCTCCACCTCGGAGCCTACACACATGACCCAAATGCATCCTTCAAACACTCACCTAAGATATAAGCGGCCACTAATTTTTGATTGACACTTAAGTGGAGGTAGAGAGGCACCAGCGATTCCACATCCCCCAGCGTAGGAAGCATCAGAGCTGCGATGCACACCACTCCCAGGAAGACAGTTAGTAAACTAGGTCCTGAGGAGACAGTTCTGTTTTCTGTAAAAAGACAAAAATCTCTGAGCTTGATTTTAAAAACAACTTAAGACCAAAGCTGGTTCACATATACTGTCCACCACTCACCAGGATTCTGGTTTCGTCTGGCTTCTCTGACTCTTTGCCTAATATTTCCGTTCCATGGAGACCAATCTACTGGACTTATCTGGAAGCCCATAACTTCTGAGTCAGTACAGAATGGAATGGTGAAGTGGCATTATGAGGTAGTGAGTTCCTACTGAAATGTCACCATTCTAACGCCACCCCCAACCTTACCCTAATCAGTACAAGTATTTAAGCATGCCATCATCTGCATATGTGTATAAAATATACAAATAGAATTTTTAACAAATGGGCTAGACATAGATAGAAACTGAAGTTCGGATATTTTCTTCCTATACCCCAATGTATTGCTTGTGTCTACTCCATTTTGGAGCGCACTGCCTTCTGGGAGTATCTTAGGTAGGTCTCCAGACAGCTTTGGTCCTCATAAGTGTAGCATTCTGCTACCATTTTTGAAAATGTTAAAGCAGCAGAAAGGCACTACTTGAGTGTGTTAAAGCTACCTGTTAAAGTCCTTGTCCTCTGCTCTACCCCATTTATAGCCAAGAAGAAAGCAAAAGCAGTATCTGGCAGCTATCACGCTAAATGAAATAAACCAGTCACAGAAGGACAAATACTGCACGATTCCACTTACAGGAAGCATCTTAAAGAGTCAAACTCAGAAACAGAGAGTAGAATGGTGGCTGCTAGGGACTGGGGGTGTGTTTAAAATGGGAGATACTAATCACGGGCATAAAGTCTCAATAAAGTAAAACAAGTTCTAGCGATCTGCCGTACAACATTGTGCCCGTAATTAATAGTACTGTATTGGACACTTAAACAGTTGTGAGCAGGGCAGATCCCATGTTAAGTGTTCTTACCACAATCAAATAAAATTAAAAAACATGATCAGGCCTGCTCTTCTACAGTTCTGGTTGTATGTGTACAGGATTCCCACCCATATTTTTAAGAAACCCAATAACAGTACATTCTGTCATCTAGCCTTTCAGGCTACCCTTCTTTCATTAAAAGGAATAGCCAACAGCAACACAATCTGTGTTTTATTAATGAAATAACACCATTCATTTTATTATTAAATGCAGCTTTTCTAAATTATTAATACCTTAGCTGTTGCATGAAGTTTAACTGAGCCTTGACAAAGCCACATAGGTGAAAACAAATTTCAAATTTTACAGTGATTATTGCTTGAGATGAAACCATAGCACGAATACCTAAAAACAAGTCTTATTTTAGTTAATAAATGAAGTTATCTTTATATCTGCTGCAGAGATGAGCTTTCAAGGAAAACATTGGTTTATGAAAACCACACTGCTGGTTACAAACCCACAATAAAGATCATTTCAAGGAATTTTTAGTATTTTTAAAAATTCCAAAGACATTTGCAGAGATACTTGAAATCTTTCAAAACGGAAATAGGTTTTTTTGTTTGTTTGTTTTGCTGAAACTACAAGATCGTTGCGAAGATTTTATAGAGATGGAGGAAATAGTTTCTTCCTCGAGGGAACACTGTTAAGGCTTGATACAGATCCTTTCAGATTTTATAAATACCCATATAAACATACAAAAGCTTTAATATAAATGAGACCATAATATACACACTGTTCTATAACTGTTTTCCTCTCAGAAATAGATTTGAGCCTCTTACTAGGTCAATTGTAACCATCTATCATTCTATCAGATCCTTGTAAATAAATGCCTGCCTGGCATCCCATCTCATGAACATTCACAATGTAATCAGTCCCCAGCTGATGGACTTTTAGGTCGTTTGCAACCTTTTATTGTTATAAACAATAATAAATAGTGTGATTTTCTTAAGCCAGAGGGCACAGGCTCAAACACTGCATAGACCTGGCAATTCCTTAGTGATATAATTAAGACAAACCTACTAAGATTCACCTGCATCTCTTCAAAACATCTTAATAAACCTGGGCTGTGGTATTTTGTAAAGGTAGGCTTTGTGGGTTTCTCTTAAATTTCTGTTAAATGAAAAAAAAATATATATATATATATATATGTATTTATGCATACAGACAAGGTCTGGAAAGGAACACGGAACACTTACATAAGCAGATCTGTTAAGTGTGTGTGACTGTAGGTGCTGTTTTCCTTTTTGAATCTGTTACTGCTGTGTCTTTTCTAGTACAATCAGCTGGAGAAGAAACTTCTCATTTTAACTGCCTTTCAAAACATTTATGAAATCTGAATTTTTCATGATCTAGCCCTTGACCATTTTCTGGCTAGTATCATGGAGGCTCACAACACTGTTGCACTTGTAATATGTCTAATAAACATCTTCCTGAGCTAAAGAGGTGCAAAAATAAGGACAGTTCAAAACCTCCCCCAAACAATCTCGATTTGTTTCAACATTTCAGTTTAGAGAAACTTAATGAAAATCTGTAGAATTCTGCATACTGGAAACCAGACGTAAGTTGCTACTAATTTAATAAACAGGAGAAGTGAAAAATACCACTTTGTCAACATGGACTCAATCGGTCACCATTATGCTCTATTCAAGAAGAGAGTACTCAGTTTCGTGCCACAGTAGAAACACTGGGGTAACCACTCACTACCTGGACAGGTTGGTCAGGACTTCATATGGGGCTCCACTGCCATGTCCCCCTTGCTCGGAAGGCTGGCAGAGCCATGGACCTTGTAAGACAAAGAAAACCAATCCAGCAGACCCAGCCCGATGAGAAGTCCAGCCCTCCTAGTGAAGGCCACGTAGACACCTCCTGTGTAACTACTCTGCTGCACACTGTGCTAGGGGCCAAGGGCATGATGGTCAACGAGACAAATAAGGCGCTTGCCTTCGTTGAGCTTCCTGACACAGATGGCTTAGAGAGATTTTTTTCCCCACCTCATTCATTTACCTACTTTGATTTTACAATTACAAGAATTTTCGAATACACTTCAGATACCAAAGGACCATTATCAGAGTAAAATAAGAATAAAATGCTCAGGTAATACACAATGTAATTATTTAACCTTTTAGGATGATTTTCACCAGAATTCTAACAAATTTTAAACTAAAGGAAAAAACATACAGATAACTGAACTCTTAACCCTTGTGTTTTTTTGGCTACTAAACTGGTCTGTTGGGGCGCCTGGGTGGCTCAGGCGGTTGAGCGTCCGACTTCGGCTCAGGTCACGATCTCACGGTTTGAGTTCAAGCCTCATGTCAGGCTCTGTGCGGACAGCTCAGAGCCTGGAGCCTGCTTTGGATTCTGTCTTCCTCTCTCTCTCTCAAAAATAAACAAACATTAAACAAATTTTTTTTTAAATAAAATACACTGGTCTGTTAAAAACCGAAATGAGCCAATTATGCATTTATGAATTTAACATCAAAAAACAAATACTCATCGTACGACTTTTCTTATTCTAGAGAAGGCATTTTAAAGGCAGAATCTTGCATTGCATAAATATTTATGAGTCCACTTCACAATACTGATCAGAGATCAAAGTGACATTTACCAGAGGTTCTCTTTCAGCTTCAAAAGCTGAAAATCTGGTCCTGTCAGTCAACAACAGTTGAAAGCAATCTACTGGCTACTACCTAGTCCCTGGGCTTGGTTTCACCATGAATTCCGGGCACTCCCTGCGTGGACGGAGAAGACTCTTGCCTGCAGTAAATCAGAGAGGCATTACTCCCTGCATTATCCAAATAAACCCTCCAGGATGAACAAACTGACAGGGATCTGTGAATTAATGTCATGACAAGTAGAACTGCTTTTAATTCCTCATAGATACTGTTGCAATTTCAAGGGCAGCTGCTATCACATTCATCTATCACTATCAAAAAGGTTCCATGTTTTTTATGGAAAATTTTATCTTCCTCCTCTTATAATAGGGTTGGAAGACGATAATGAGAAGTTAAGAGGGAGGAGGATTGACGTCCAACGAGTTGAATCTGAGGATAGTGTCAATGTTGAAAGAATATATCATAACACTTCTGAATATCTAAGCTGGAAGGAAATGAGGAATGGACAGGGATTCAGTTAATAGCCCACAGGGGATATTATAATCTACTTAGTTTAATTAACTTCAACTTTAATGAGATTTTTTTTCCAAATAATACGAACAGTGCACCAAGCTTGGCCTATTGCCAAACACAATCCCTCTCCTTCTTCGAACTAATTAAATGAGAAAGGATACAGGAAAGTCATAGAAACAAAAGTATACGATTGCCAAACTGTGCTAGCCTTATGAAGCGGGTAGCTGCATTCTCAGGTTGGGCACATTTAAAAGGCTACAGCCACCAGCTCCTTACAGCCTCGGCTGCCGAGATGCTTTCTGCCTTGTTTCAAGGCTGGCTCGAGGACTCTTGCTTCACCTTGGGTACCAGACCTCCAGCTTCCGTTTGGAAGTAGTTAATTGGGCTTAAAGGGGCAGATCCTTTTTCTAGTAATTATTCTTAGCTCCCTATTTTCAAGTCAGAAATGCACAAGACCTCCAAAGGGCTTTAAACGCAAACTAAAGACTACCTGGTTGAAAGGACTGCTCAAAAAATAAACTTTCAGTTAAATGCTCCTTTATCCTTTTTTCGTCGTCTTCCTTTTGTTGTTCTTTCGCAGATGGGAGAAGAGTAGCCACCACCTCTTTCCTTCCTAAAGCCTTCCTCTGGCTTTGCTCGGAAACTTGAAGACGGAATTTGTCCGTTACACCATAGTGACAGGATCGAACGTCTCTATGACGAATCACACTGAAAACATTAAAAAAATAAATGCTGTTTAGGTTTCTGGGGGACTGTGAAACAGAATTCAGCAAGAGATTTCATACAGGAGACAATTAACTGACTATCACCCAAGACTCAAATACAGAATTTTGCTAATGATGTTTAAAAAAAAAGCCACAGCATAGATAAAAAGGAATATTTAGAATCCTAAAATATTTGATGAAGACCTGGGGTGCCTGGGTGGCTTAGTCGATTAAGGGTCCGACTCTTAATTTTGGCTCAGGTCATGATCTCACAGTTCCTGAGATTGAGCCCTGTGTCGGGCTCTGCAGCTGACAGCATGGAGCCCGCTTGGGATTCTCTCTCTCCCTCTCTCTCTCTCTCTGTCCCTCCCCTTGCTAATGCTGCACAATCTCTCACTCTCTTAAAATGAATAAACTTAAAAATATTTTAATAAAATATTTGATGCAAACACATACTCTGCAACATAGAATAAAACCCTTCAGCGAGGCGCCTGAGGTTAAGCGCCAACTTAGTTGGTTAAGCACCACTCTTGATTTCGGCTCACATCCTGATCTCATGGGGAGTTCGAGCCCCACATCGGGCTCTGCGCTGAAGAGGCTGCTTGAGACTCTCTCCCCTCTCTCTGCCCCTACCCCACTTGCTCTCTCAAAATAAACTTAAAAAATAGTTTTAAAGTCTGAAGTAAAAGAATATATAGGTAAAGAAAATTCCTTTTAGCAATGGCATTTTTCCCCCTGACATCTGTGGCCAGCAACAGTTACTAAATAGGACATATATATAAAATGGTTTCTTTCTCACAAAAGTCTCATAGATGTCTATTGACACTTACTTATCATTCAAGTAACAAACCTCACCTAGGCTTAAAATTGCAAGTCTATGCACACAGGTAAAAACAAGCAATTGAATAAGCAAAGAACCCAGTATGACCAGTGCCATCAGGAGGCTAACAACGCACTTTCCTTATTCCTCTGAAAAGAGTCTAAAGCACTCCAATTTTTATGAGAGTCGTCTACAGTTCCATTTATTTTGCTTCGTTCTTAATGGAGAACACAAACCAATTAGGTCAAAGATAACACATTTATTTGGCAAGAGACACCATTTCTTTGGAGGAGTCCTTGCTTATTGTGTGGTAAATGAGAAATCAAAAGAAACCTGCGAAAACACGTCCTCTAAAGATATATATCATTTTACGGGTAGGAGACGATGAAAATGTGTTCGGACACAAAAGCCTGTGCTTCTCATTCTCATGGAAGATTTAAACAAGTACAGTCTACTTGGTAGCTTAAATTAAGAGCTGGTCCATTGGGCCATCTGGTCACCACTAGCTCTAAAGTGAAACTTAAATGTGAACAGCTTGAACAAACAGTCATTTATCCGACACTCTAAAACGAAATTATCTGGAAGAGCTCAGGTAACCTTTTACAGAGGAGTCGTTACGCACTTGCTTCCTGTGTGTATAGATTAACTTCCAGGCTTATTAGCTGAATCATTTCAGATGAACTTATAGTCCCATCGTTCTGTGAATGTGGTATTCAGTTTCGCAAATGTCACTATAACGGGATGTTCCACGGGAAGCTAAATTGCCCATTATAGCTAGAGCAATGCAAAGGAGTAAGTTAGAAGTTTACCTTCATAAATGACTCTGCTCTGACTAAAAAGCATAACAATGAGGAAATGTTCATGGAGATATTAACACACGTATCAGCTCCAACATCGTGAGATACTATTAAGTATTTGCTCGACCTGGTTGGAACCTTAGGGACTTCTGAAGAATTTGGAGACGAAAAGCTCCAGCAAAAATTCAAAACATAATAGATGCCTGTGTGGGAACGGCTTCGAGATGAGACCCTTTTCGAGTTAAACACATGAATATTAACACACTTAAAACCTGTTACCAGGGAGTGACTTTGACTTACATATCCACACAGCACTGAGGCTTCACTGCACCCGCAGCATCAACGACAACATACTTATTTGGAGTAGTACACAAAACTGAAAGAAAAAGTCACAGTGGCCATTAGTGGTTTTAAAAAATTAGTTTCTACAAGTAAAAAAGTTAGTAGGGACAGGTGAAAAGCCATGAAACAGACTAGGAGACTCACCTTTGAACTTTAAGGCAAACTCATAGGGATTATACAGAGTCAACACTTGCTTATGTGTTGACTGGTCATCTGCATAAAATATTAGCTCCGTGGGAAACACAAAAACGGGAAGATTTCCTTCCACTAACTCTGGCTGTCTTTTTTGTTGATGCATTGGCACTGAATCCCCCTTGCTGCAGCTTCTGTGTTTACAGTCTCGAAGCTATTTTGGACTTTTCTTAAGTCAGTTAGTTAAAAACTCCAAAGCATTTTGGCAATCTAGAAAGAGAAGAAGAGACAAGGAAATCGAATGATACTTGTTTTCATTTGTTGTCCCTCCACAAAAGCATGTTCAGCTTGCACTAAAATAGGTCCCCAAATCATTTAAAGATACCTTTGGACTTTTCCTCTGGGCCTGCTTACATAGCTAGTACCAAACTACACAAAGAAATTTACACACTCCTTTCACATTCAAGATTTCAACCTATGATAAATTACATAAACACTAAAGAGGTATTTCTACCTCAAATGAATCACCCTCTTTCAAAGAGGGGAGATCAAAGGGACATCTTTTTTTTTAAACTTCGGATTTCCTAAAAAGTGGAATAAATCAGGGGCACCTGAGTGGCTCAGTTGGTTGAGCATCCAGCTCTTGATTTTGGCTCAGGTCGTGATCCCAGGGTCGTGGGATTGAGCCCCCTGTCAGGCTCCACACTCAGCATGGAGCCTGTTTGAAATTTCCTCTCTCTCTCCTCTCCCCCCCCACCTTCCTCCCTCTGCCCTTCCCCTGCTCATACTCTCTCTTAAATAAACAACTTTTTTTAAAAAGTAGAATAAGTATTGTCATAACTGACTTGATGTGAGCTAACCAGAATTCTTAAAGACTAAAAAATATAAAACAAAGTAAGTTTCCATGATTTATGGGAGAACATGACACTTACTTTTACACTCATTTCAACAAGGCTTTAGTTAGTGCTTTCTGGCAGCACTGGGTGGGAGAGTGCTTTTCATCTTTTTTCTACCAAAAACCCAAGACAAGCGAAAATGTCTTGAAAGGAAGCTGAATATCCAGACTTGTTAAGGAGTCCTTGGGAGTCTTCTATGAAAATTCAAAGTCAGTAAATAGGCTCTGGCATGCAAGTGGCACGGTGCCTCCCCTCCTACGTCAAGTCAAGTTCACAGGCTTCGTGAGAGCTATTTGCTTCCAACTTAGAGACCTTTCGGATTCCTTCTGGGGTTCTTGAGTATGTTCCGAATGGTTGTGTCTGGCAGAAGTCTGACTGTCTGATGTGTGTGATGTTTCTGTGTTTATTTCCCAGGCTAATTTTAATCAACAACATTCCTATTTAGCTACTACCATCCTAAGAATGTGGCTTTTGAAAATGTAGAAGCTAAAACAATACGATCACAGAAAATATCCGATTTTCACTCGGTAGATCATACCTTTAACTGAGGCCATAAACCACTTAATACTTTGTGTTCAGGTCCCCACACGTTCAAAGAGAAACAGAATGCACGATTAAACTGTTTGGTTTTACCAGCTATCAGGAGCCCCGTGTGCTGATTCTGCCTCAGGCCTTTCTAACTTTTATCAAATAAGATACTATGTAATCAGGCATTCACACTTTTATTCTTTCCTTTCAGCTGAACACCTGTGACAAGCCAGCAACTCTGTGGGGACCTGTGCAGAGATAGAGGGCCCTGCCCTTAAAAGACTCGGGTCTAACTGAGGGGACAGTATTTAAGCTACCTCTGTTACAAGGCAGACCACTATACATAAAGTGCTAGGCAATCAGAAGGATACACAAATAATTCTACCTGGAAGAGGGGCCAGGAAATGACATCTGAGGTAGTTCGAAAAGAAAAATATATATATATACTTCTATGTCGGGGGGAGGGCACAGGTTGGAAGGGCTTTCTGACCTCGGGAACAGCATATGCCAGGTCACAGAAATGCAAAGGTGAGGGACAACACTGGGGAGGTCATACTCTCCAAGCTTTCCCGGGTCATCATCCTACTTCCTGCGCTTATTACTTTGTAGCATACGTGTAGCTCGTGACAGCGTGGGTTGGTTTTTGGTTTGGTTTGGTTTGACCAAGTGAAAGGGCCTATTGACATTTTTATTAGTAATAACATTTAGTATGGGTATAATTCATAACAGATTCAAACTTTTTATTAATTACATATACTGAATTAATACATGCAAGGCTTTTAGCACTTACTGTAGGCCAGGCAACGTTCTAAGCGTTTGCTATTGTGATTCAACTAGGAAGAGACTGACAGAGACAATAATGCCCGCAGGCCTCGTGCCCTCAGTCCATTGTAATACAAGAAAAATTGATCATTCTGAAGAGCATCTGATGAAATCATTCTGAGTTTTTATCTGCCACGAATTTCTTTCTTTTGCTAAGAGCCATACACATTTCTATTTGGATGATGTGCTCTCAGAAGTCTGGCATATTTTTTTCAACAGAAAATAATTAGCTCTATTGCTTTCTTAGGAAGCTTGGCTACCAGAAACAGAACAAACAAGTTTGCCATCACTAAATAATATTCAACATCTCATTCTGCAACTCTGTTAGGAGGAGAATTTAGCTTATGATAAAAGGTAGGATGGCATCTCTGATTTATGGAAAACAGTTCTGTCGAGAAATGTTGGTAAAACCAGGCTTCCATCTGAGGGGGGGGGTTGAATTTATCCCTTACTCCTTGTAAAATTCTAAAATTTTATTTGGGTAAATTCCAAATGGATCCAAGTTTTAAATGCAGGGGAAAAAAACCATAAAACACTAGAAACCATGGGACACTTTTTAAAATATAATCTGAGGCATTCTAACAACCAGAAACCAAAAAAATATTGACAAATTCAACGACATAAAAACTCTTAAAATACTGCATGACAAAAAACTTTTAAGCAAAGCCAAAAGAACATTTCAATCATAGGCCATGTCTAACTTCCCTACTGTATGTAGAGGAAATAAAAATCACTATTATAAAAGCACTCAATATAAAAGTGAGCAAATGCTACGATATTTTATAGAAAAGGACATACAGGGTGCCTGGGTGGCTTAGTCTGTTAAGCATCTGATTTCAGCTCAGGTCATGACCTCATAATTCATGAGTTTAAGTCCCATACCGAGTGAACACAAGCCCCACTTTGGGTGAGCCCTGCTTCTCTCCCTCCTCCCTCCCTCCGTCTCTCTGCCCCTCACTTACTTGAGCCCTCTCTCTCAAAAAAATATATACAAATAAAACGACATACAGATTGTTTTTAAACTTACCAAAGGATATGTAACTTGACTCACAAGAGAAATACAAACTAAAGCTATACCGAAATACAGGTTACTACTTGTCAGACTGGCAAAACCCAAAAAGTTTGAGGGGCGCCTGGGCGGCTCAGTCAGCATCTGACTCTTGATTCCAGCTCAGGTCATGATCTCGAGATCCCCAGTGCAGGGCTCAATCCCTCAGCTGCTGACAGTACAGAGCCTGCTTGGGATCCCCTCTCCCTCTCTCTCTACCCCTCCCCTGCTTGTGCGTGCGTGCTCTCTCGTTCTCTCTCTTTCCAAATAAATAAACATTTAAAAAATATCTTTTAAAAGTTTGATAGCACATGGTGGGAGCAGCCAGGCATGTTCTTAACATTGCGGAGAGGGCCACTCATGGGCTCAGTGACGACACCTGGTGCTGGAGATTCTACTTCTAGGAATTTATCCGCCATAAATATTCCTCTTGCATGAAATTATGCACATGGAACTTGTTTAATCCTCAGTGTTGAGGATTAAATAATTTATGTGAGGCACACAGAACAAAGCCTGGCGCTCAGTAAGCGTTAGCTGTTGTCAATAGGGAAAGATCGGAAACAGCCCAACGGTCCATTAACAGGCTCCCCCCCCACCCCCTAAGTGTGCTCACTCCCTAAAATAAAAAAATAAAATTAGATTAAGTTAAATTAAATGTGTAATTTAATGTGTAACTCTACCAGGGCCTAATTTGTAAGAGGTGCCACCTTGGAAACTCAAGAAGGAATTTAGAAACAATGTGTGACAAATCTCCGTTAATTGCATTTTCCAATCCGTGATCCTTTAATACCACTGAAAACCTTAAACTGGTAAATACAATGATTGCAGCTCTTGAAAATTATTTTATATGCAACAGAAACATTACAGCGAGAAAAACAAAGGTTTAAGAGGACTTGCAGACTGAGGAAAACGTGCAAGCTTCTGTTTCCCAGGAGTAGGACACGCTTTATAAATCTGACCGGGAGGTCAAAGGTAACCACACAGAGCAAGCAGTAAGCTCTTCGTTCTAACCCCAAGGGGAAGTTCATTGGCATACGTCAAAGTGGAAGTTTTGCTAGCTCTACGTAATGGTTTAGTAGAATTCATACTCTTTCTTTTTCATGTTGAAGCTTTCCCTTTACGAGCTGGATATGTGAACCTTTCCCCATGAATTGTGAATAGGCTGTCTCTCCCCCAGTCACCATTAAAGAAGTGTTTCATTGGCTTTTAGCAGTTTGTTATTTCTTTTTTGTAGCTCTGTTCCCATTTCTCACTTATCTTGGCGAAGATAGAAATTGCCTCCTGAACTCCAACCGATGGAAATTGGAGGGGAATTAGCACCAGGTCACCCGGAGCAAGAGCAGAGACTCTGCCAACAAACATAATGAAGCATCACACCTGCCTCTAATTGATGGTTTTCGGGAGACTAACGCTTTCTCTTTGCTTCTGTCCGTGTTGCAAAATGATGAGGTGCAAACATTCTGGGCAGAGATTATATACTAAGCCGGTAAAACCTTACTACAAATCGGTTTAGGAGGTTGCTTTGCCCAAGTCAAACACACACAGAGTCAAAGACCGTTGTCAGCTCCCAGCCCGCCTCATCTGCCCTAGGAGGAGAGCGAGCCCCGGAGAGGGAAGGGACTTACCCCGGGTTGCACAAGGTGCTGGCGGCAGACCTCCGGTCTCCAGACTCACACCTTCCTACACAGTGATCGCCTCCTCTGGGTCTCCTTTCCAAATTCCTGCCTCCGGGGCGCTCACTGCCACACACACCCTCATCGCTACAAAATTTCCCTGCTTTTCCAGAAGAGAGGAGTTCTCAAAGGAGGATCCAAAATTCAAGTCCCGATGCGTGTGTTTCCTTTACAGTTTTATAAGGAAATTGAGAGACGATTTTACTGACCAAGTTGAGTACACTTTCTTTTCCTGGTTATGAAAGGGCAGCTTCGGCTCTCAGAAACTATTCACTAGGGCAGGAATCCCCAAGGTTTATTTTATTCCTCCTCTCTGGACACCAAAACGTTATGCATTCTTCAAAGCCTAGTACAAAGTTCCCCTTTGTGGTCTTTACTTCTCTGACCTATATAGATCTAATTTTTAGGACATTACCTTTGACTGTATTGGCTGTATGGATTGCATATCCTGACATTTGCTCTGAGTGGATGAATTTCGACCGCCCCCCCCCCCGACTTGAGCATAATGCCATATTGGTTTTCTGTGGGTTTTGTGTTGGTTTGAGGCATCCTACACAGACCCAACCTCAGGGTCAGGCACTTAGCAGATCCTGAACTTACCAGTTTGCCTATGGGTGTCTACTAATGACAGTCTCCTCCATCAGAAACATTCCTCTTCCTCATAGCTGAGCACACTTTGTCCATAAAGGACAGGGAAAGGGTCCCAGTTAAAGGGACAGTAAACCTATGGTAGCTGCTTGCCGTGGGTTCAGGCAAGGGAACAGAGAATGCTCGCTCCCAGCTATGTCTCCCCACACCTCCCACACTCTCCTTCCCAGTTCCCTCATCAGCCCTGGCGCCTCAGTGCCCACCTAGGTTCCCAAATAGCCCCGACCTTACGGGGAGACAGAGCAGCTGGTGATGCGGGAACGGCTTGTCCTTTTCCTCTGTACAAAGGGACAGGAATTCAATCGTGAATGAAATCTGAAAGAAAACCTGATGTGTGTACACCACCTTGTGACCGGTTTGCAAACTACTCTCCCTCACACCCACACTCACACAACAGCCTGAACACACAAAGTCCTCACATACTTTCCACTATCCGCCCAGGGAGAGCAGCACCCCAAAGTGTGATTATTTTCTGTTTTCCTCACTTTAGATTGACCAGAAGAAGGAAAAGGGAAGACTCTGAGAAAAGCGGGAATTTCCAAACCTCTGCCCACTACAGATTCAAAATGGAGATCTCAAACAGAAGCCACTTTAAAAGCAGGTTGTCATTTGCCCCCTCCCCTTTTTTGGGAAACTGGGGGGCTGTAAGAAAATCAAATGAAACTAGTTTCTGGGGAAGTCTGGGCTTCAAGTTATCCCTAACCATTTCAGACTTTAAACCACTACTGCGCAAGAACCCCCCAGGACCACTCATTTCAAACCAGCTACTGACGCCCTCTCTCTGGCTCCTGCGTTTACCCTGATTAGGGTTCTGACTCCACCTCTGTGCCACCTCCCTTTATCTGGGCAGAGGAACTATCTGCTTCCTCCATATTTGGGGCCAGCCAAATACTAAGTAGTTAAGTGCAATAAGTTCTTTTGCTTTGGTCTCGCTAGTATTAAAACCTCGTTTTCCTTCCCATTTCATCAACTTGGCTCTCTTCCTCTTTAAATTTCCAGTACTGTCTATTAGGATTTTTTTTAATGTTTTTTTTTTAATTTATTTCTGAGAGAGAGAGAGACAGAGAGAGAGAGAGAGAGAGAGAGAGAGAGACAGCGTGAGCAGGGGAGGGTCAGAGAGAGAGGGAGTCACAGACTCCGAAACAGGCTCCAGGCTCTGAGCTGGCAGTCAGCACAGAGCCCGACGCGGGGCTCGAACCCACGAACCGCGAGATCATGACCTAAGCGAAAGTCGGACGCTTAACCGACTAAGCCACCCAGGCACCCCTGTCTATTAGGATTTTTAAGGGCCGGTATATTCCTGAAGTCAAGTCTTTCACAAGCAATGCTCGGATGTTCACGTTATAGGTTAAATAGCTCATTGTACAAATATTAGGCTATTTGGTTTTTAAACATTTTCTAGATTTTCCATATGCTCTGATGTCTTACCAAAGCCAAAGACTTCACAGCAGTCTATACACCGTAAACGTTGAGTAGTGTAGTTTTAAGATTTTTAAAATGACAAAGATGCCCTCTGGCAGCATCTTTTATAAAGAAATACATTTTTCTCAGGGGCGCCTAGGTTGCTCAGTCAGTTGAGCATCCGACTTCAGCTCAGGTCATGGTCTCACAGCTCGCGTGTTCAAGACCCGCATCGGGCTCGCTGCTGTCAGCACAGACCCCACTTCGGATCCTGTCCCCACACCCCTGCCCCTCCCCTGCTCACTCTCTCTCGAAAATGAATAAACATTTTTTTAAAAACCATTTTTCTTAAACCAGTTATTTCCAACCTGTATTTTACAAGATCTAAGGTCTTCAGTTATTTCAAGATCTATGTGCAATTCTCAAAGCGAAATCCGTATTAATCCATGTTAATTACTTCACTATATGAAATACATACGTTGCCACCTATGGCACTCTCCAAAGTTTTCGAATCACAAATTCATTCAAGGAACATTAACTGAGCACTTACTATATGCTAGGCGCTGCACTAGGGAAGATGGAGCAAAGATGAAAACATGGTCTCAGCCCTCCAAAAGCTCCGTCTAGCCTGAAAACCAGACATACATCCTAATTAGGATATCATGTGACCATGTTAAAATGCTGGTGGGTGAAAAACCTCTGGGAGCATAAAGAAAGTGATGATCTGCCTTAAATAGGAGTTTGCAGTAGGAGGGGAAAGGGGGGTGAATTCCAGGAAGTCTATGTGTAGAAGCACGAAAGGGACTCTTAAAATGAGCTCTGGCACTGCGTGTGGTTAAAAAATAGCATGTATGGGGGAGTGGCAAGGGATGGTGAAAAATCCTGTAAGCCAAGTTCGGGGGTGTCGACTTGATTCTGGATGCCAGTGGTTCTCCACATGTGGTACTGGACCAGCAGCAGCTTCACCCGGGACCTGGTGAACAAGGCAAATCCTTGGGTCCCAGGCTAGACCTACTGACCCAGAAGTTCTGGGGGGTGGGGCCCGCTCATCTGTGCTTTAACAAGCCCTCCAAACGATTCTAAGGCACACCGCGCTTTGAGAGCCACTGCTGCGGCCAATGAGAAAAATCTCGGAAGGGTTTTGAGCAGAGAACTGCCTGGATAAGATCTCAAGTAGGAACACTGGTTGCTGCTGCCCAGCCAAGCACGGCACCTAACTCCAGAGTAGTTCCAGTAAAAAACAAGTAACTCTGGAATAAATGTGACGTGAAGAGAGGGCCGAGATGAAGGCAGTAGGTACGGAGAGGAAACTGTTTAGGGATATTTTACAGGTGGCCCAGATTCAATCAGGTGATGAGGATATATCCATACAAAGGTGTGACTGAAGTGGTTTAGATAAAATGTGTGACCTTGCCGGAGGTATCAACCACTAGGTGTTTCCTGAAAGAAGTGTTGCACACACTCCCTAGAAAAAGGGAGGAGATGGAGCGCAAGATCTGTGTTTCCACAGTGTCAAAAGCAAACGGTGCCCTGGTGCCCTGGCTTGGCCGCGAGTCTTCCGGCCAGCTGGGCAGTTCTACTTCTCACTGGAAGTTAGGAAGCTGGCATTCATAGTAACATAAAACTCGTTTGGGGAGTTTGGTTAGTGTGAATCAATCCTTGAGACTGACAGTTTCGGGATGTGCTGGCAAAATTCAATTTCAAATGCTGAGAAGCCGAAAATAGGCATCGGTTCTGGTGGTCTAACCAAGGAACTGACAAGGTGAGACCCTGCTGGAGCCTTCTTTTCATCCTAACTTCATCACCGATCACACAGTCCACTTAATTCTGGAAGAAGCTGGAATGAATCAAAGAATCACTTTGTACTATGCCCTGACGGTCAAGAAAGTCGGATGTACCTGTTATTTCTAACTTTGGGGGCAGGATTTAGCTGAGGCAATCTTCAATTTCCTAATTGAGAGGAGAGAGGGAAAACCCATATGGCTAATTTACCTAATGAGAATTTGCCAGAGCACAATTCCTATTTCTACTAGGACTCTGGATGCCTCTCATTATGGAACGTAAGTTTTCCAGCTGATACCAATATCTTGGCTTATCTGACCAACTTATTTTGTCTAAGAATAGTTCCCGATTAAAAACTGCGCTGTTTTATGGAAGTTGAGAGCTATCAGGCATCCTGGAGATTAAAACAAAACTTTCATACTACAGATGAGGAAACAGAGGGCTTCAAAGAGTAAATCATTTCATCTATTTATTGTAGGGCAAGCTTTTCCAGAATACTACAAGATGGCAAAACAAGATTCAGAGCAACACGGATAATCGGTTCATTTAAATTTTAGACAAGATTTTAAATTCCTCTATTTTCCATCTTAAACGTTTTAAAAGCAGAAAAAAAAGAGTAGCAAATTACTCACTTTTATTGGGCTCTTAGAGGACGGGGAAGCTTTTCTTGTAGTTTCTTAATTGTTTTCAGAAACTAGAGTTAAATGTAAAAACTTCAGGAGAAAAAAAATTTTTAAATAAAAAACTGGGGAAGAAAACGTGCATGAACAATAAGGAGAGAAACATGTATTCTTTTATAAGCTGTTTTCGGTCTTTGCCTACAAAGGGGTAACTTTACACTGAATATTGTCCATTACATCTAATTATATGTTACATGTAAAGGGAATCTATCACCACTACCCCTTACAGATTTGAGAAACGCCAGCTTTTCCAACATCCTGGTATTTGAGTAAACCTTGTATTTTTCAGAGTTCTAGAAATGCTTCAGAAACTAGTTTGATCTTGTAGGCTGTCTGGGTATGTAGACGTGAACAACTTGAAACGCACATTTGGCCTCGTTTTCTGCTTTCCAAACTTCCCATTGCTTTCTACCAAATATATATATGTAATCTAAAAGTTGGTGTTCACTCCCCGGTCAATATCCAATATATAGCATTTTACAAGCAGATTTCCAAGCACTTGAAGGAAACGTGGACAAGGTTTTCATCATCAAGAATATATTAAATTCCAGGTGTGCCCTGGCTGAAAAAGTAGACTTTTCCCCTTCTGTCTGGAATTCCCATTAAGAACGCAATGCATTCCGATAGAAAAGCACTGCTTTTTAGGCAAGATCCAAAGGATCCCATTTTCCAGGTCTGCGTCCATCTCTGATTTCCCTCAAAGGCCCAAAATCGGGACCGTTTTTATTTTTTTGCCCTCTCGCTCCCCGATGTGAGGTCTCTTAGATTCTACTGGGGCAGAAATGCAACTTCAGTCCGGAGAGGGCAGATGTCAGTTACTCTGAAACCGCAGTACATTGATTAAGGGCTGGAGGGCAGGAGAGGAGCACCAAACGGCCCGTCCTAGGACTTCAGCCCCACCTGACTGGGGCCCAGCCTTTCCAGCCGTCGTCCCCACACCGGCCGGCTCCATGTGAAACCGGTCATGTGAGCCTGTTTACAGCCGAGCAGCTGGTGCAACCATCAGGATCCGTGCGGAGGTCCAGGAAGGGGGACAGATGCAGGCTGCGTACCCCTTCCACCACCACCCCCCGTCACTATTCCACGAAGGCGTTCGTTTTCCCTTCCTGCCTCGCCACCCCACTTTCACCTCCCTCCGGCCATCCCGGGACGCCTCGCTCCGGCCCCATAGATTTCCTTCCAGTTGCTCGCGCGGGGGGGGGGGGGACCGGCTGGGGGTGGGGAGGAGGAGTTAGGGCGAGGACGGTGTCACCCCGAATGGAGAGTCAACCTCCCTCCCGCAGCCCTCCTCGAAACATCCGCCAAAGAGTTGTCCCTGGAGTCGCATCCCCGGAGCAACCGAACTCTGCCGGGCAGGCACCGGGAGGGTCCCGAGCCTGCTGCCTCCGCCCGGGGAACGAGAAAGGCAGGCACGGGCCGGCCCGACCCTGGAGCCGGCATTCGCGGGCGGCCGGGCAACTGACAGTCAGAGATGGGGCAGAAAGGACCCCATCTGCCCGCTGCCA